GGCTGGAAGGCGCTATAGAAGTAAGCTCCATTTACCATTTACCATAATAATAATAATAAGGTCGGCATAGTCGTAGCCCTACTCCAAGTGGTGCAGACTGGAAACATCAACCGTATGGGAGATGGCTAACAGGGCGGGCAATTAATCTAATATGAATACGAGAAGTGAAAGAAAACAGGTAAACAACGTAAACGAGAACCACTTTGAAAGAGACGTGGTTGTCGCGTCTGGCTGCCCCAGAAGTGTCGCTGGGGGGGGGGCGGTCTGTCATCCCATGAAATCGACTCAAGCACAACAGTCAAACTCTTCCAGCTCACTTGGCAGTTCCCAAACTGAGATTGGTTCTCAAGATGGCTTGCCTAGCATACAATCTGCCCCCAGTTTAAAGCGAAAGAGCCAAAAACATAACAGGACAAAGGAAGAGTACAAAGAAGTAATGTGGGCGTATTATATGCACTAATCCATGGGCTGCCAGCTCCAAAAACGAAAGGCATGTTTAGCAAATGGAGACAGCGCAATCCTGATCTGCTTCCTGAGTTTGATGCAAATTGTTTGAACACAGTAAGGAGATACATTGAAGAGAACAATGTATTAATAGCATTAGAGATTAATGAGATTGTGTCAAACATCAAAACACAGTCAGACCAAATGCAACAAGACCTGCCATTTGTTCAACTAGCCACAACAAGCACTACACATGAGGAGCTAATACAAATCACCAGCCCATACTGTTCCTCCAGATCTCAACTGTGTGCTCCAGATGGAACAAATGATTGAGAAACTGCTTGAGACTAAAATAACAGCAATTGCTGAGCGTAGAGGTATCGAAAAGGCCAAGAACTGCAAGCAACTCTCTGAGACAATCGAGCTGGCCAATCAGGCAATCAAGCAATATTGCAGAGAAGTACACCTTAATCTAACCGAGATTAATCCTCTCCTCTATGCAGCAGCTGCCATCGTAGCAGGTGAGCAATAGCCCAAAAAGCCTACAAAGTGTAAGCCTGTGAAGTTCCCATATGGAAATAACGCATTCAACGGCAAATAGAGAACCTAAGGGGTCAGTTAGCCATCTTGCAAGAACTGGCCAAAGGAATTGCTACAAAAAGTTCCATTCTCGGGCAACAAAAATCTTTAGAGAGTTGCAGATGGGACCAGATCAGCTTGTGCAACTTATACAAAGTGTGAGGCTAAAGATTGCAGAAAAAATGTCCAGCATCTGAGGCGAATTGAAAAAAGAAGCAAGCAGTACCATCAGAACAAACTCTTATTTGAGAACACCAAACTCCTGTACTGTCAACTCAAAGCAAAGTAGTGTGTCTGAGCCTCCTGACAAGCAATGGCTGACCACATTCTGGAGAAGCATTCTATCAAATAAAATGGAGCACAACAGGAAAGCGACCTGGATTGAGATCGAGAGTAAGAGGTGTGCAAACAGGCCTATACAACAGTGGATGGATATTTCAGCAGATGTTGGAACTATCATCAAACTTCTGGATCCAGAAGTTCACAGCTGCACACCAACAACTTGCAACAGCACTGAATAAAATTATTCAAGACCCTTGCCTAATGCCTGACTGGAAGACCAAAGGGACCACTTTCTTAATCTACAAAGGTAAAAACAGCAAGGATCCAAAGAACTACTGGCCGATCACTTGTCTCCCAACACTCTATAAGACCTTAAGTGGCATAATGGCAAACAAAATCTATGACCACTTGTTGGGGAATAACATGCTGCCTGATAATAATCTAACATTAATAACAATATTCAACCTTTATTTAGACAGATAAGTCACATTGAGCCTAGAAGACTCATTTACAAGTGAGACCTGCTTAGACAGACAAAAAGTAGTGAAACTGGACACATGGAGGATAATATGATGAAGAAGTTAAAGGATCAGAATAAATAATTGGACTCGTGGTTCTGGTCATACCTTTCCGGTGGACTTGACTCCCTTCCAGACACAGAAATAAACCAGGACCCAGACGGCCATCAGACACAGCAGGAGCTCCCAGTTGATCTGACCCGGCTGCTCCAGACCCGACGAGATGTTCAGAACTTTGTTCCTGCACACACAAACCACCGTCAGCTTCCCATCTGCTAACGGCCCCGTCCGACCCGGCGGCAGAACTCACTCCCAGAACTCGATGATGGGCGAGCGGGCGTCGGCCAAGTCGGCGCAGGTCATGTTGCCGCCGCCCACCGTGGCGTTGGCCAGGCTGCCGTTCTGGCAGTCCTGGTGGTGGAAGTTCTCCAGGCAGCTGGGCGTGTTCCACTCGTTGTCGCAGTTGGACCACGGCAGCGTGGCGCTGAAGGACTTGATCAGGTAGTAGAACCCCCAGGCCAGAACCATGATGTAGTAGGTGTTGCAGAAGAACACGATCACCATGGAGGCGTAGCCCAGACCTGAGGAGGATCCGGCAGAAGGTCCAGATCAATTAGAAGAACCCAAACAGAAACAGCTTGGAACCATCAGGAACACTGAAATCTGTGAAACATCCCCCGAGTGCTAATCCTGGTCCTGTCTGGACCTGCACCTCAGCCTTCAGAACCATCATTCTGGGTCTAAACGGGTCACAGGAAGTTGGACAGCTGTTTTCAGAACTTTAGCTCTTTTTCCTCAATCACAGCTGAACGTGGAGGATTCACTGATTTGATCCAGAATGATCAAACTCCTCTTCAGTCTTTCTGTCTCCGTCCACCCAGTGTCTCCTGAACTGACGGTTCCTCTCAGAGGTCAGAGGTCACACACCCAAACAGAACCTGTGGTACCATCAGAACCTTTACAAGTTATTAGATCCAACTTCTAGTTTTTGTTTGAATTCAAACTTTAAATCTGAACGTGAGGTGATCGACTGGTGTAAAACAAACATGTTAGACGGATCAGAACAGAACCTGTTGGTTTTGGGTTGTCTGCCACAAACTATTCTTGTGCGGCGTGCTGGGATAAATGTCCCAGAATGCATTGCAGCATGTGGTAATGTTTTATTAAGGTTTATTTCCTGCGTTTTGGTGGTTTTTAAACGTTCTGTGAAACTGAACTGTGACAGGATCAGACCTGCAGCAGCAGGTGGTCCATTCAACGGTTTCTTTTCAGACTCACGGGAATGTTTCTCAGATGAAGTGCACGGTGAGAAATGTTTGCACAGAGCTTAAATCATTAATGTCGTGGTTATGATAAACGGCCGCATCAGGTTCAGACATGACGATAACGAGCTGAAGGTCGTCATGAGGACGTCAACATCGTTCAAGATGCCTTCAAACTTTCCATCAACGTTCCATCGAAACTCCATTCTGCAAAACGGAAATAACCTGAGCAGACAAACACGGAGGCGTTACCTGCAGCCGGTGTAGTTGACCGAAGAGAAGAATGTACAGATTGTTTTCCACGTAAATAAGAAAAGTTCCTCAACTCCCAGATCAATGTGTTTGACAAGAAAACTCCTGAAACTCTGCAATGGTTTTAGTTTGTCACCTCAATTAGTGGCCCCCAAATTTCACTCAACT